TGTTGTCAGGCATGGCTTCGAGAAGGCCGTACGTAAAGAGCAAGGTGCACTGGACGCCGCCGTAGAACAACAGACCGTGAAGATCGCCGCCTAAGATTATTGGCCTTAAGGGACCGTTTCTCCACAGGTCCATTGCAAATGAATGGTTTGCAGAACACGGAAGACCTATTGGCATGCGAAGTGTTTACCGACGAATGAGAAGTTTTGGCTTGTTTTCATACCGGCCACACTGGGTCCTCCCTTTAACTCGAGAACACCGACGTAATCGCCTTGAGTGGTGCAGACAACGGTCACTCTGGGATCAGGAATGGAACAGTATTGTCTTTAGTGACGAGTCTCGATTTTGTTTAGGCATGCACGATGGTCGTGCCAGGGTTAGAAGGTGACGTGGTGAAAGGAGGAATCCACAGTTTTTTGTTGAAAGACATGTTCATCACACTGTTGGAGTTATGGTTTGGGGTGCTATAGCTTATGGTTCCAGGTCACCTTTAATCTTCATCAGAGGTAACATGAACGCGCAGCGTTATATCCACGAAGTTCTAGAACCCCATCTTTTACCCTATCTTGACACCCTGGCAGATCCAACTTTCCAACAAGATAATGCCCGACCACATGTTGCAAGAGTCACAATAGACTTCTTTCAACATAATGATGTCACATTGTTACCATGGCCACCAAGATCTCCCGACTTATCCCCAATTGAGCACGTGTGGGATATGATGGGTAGGAGATTGCTCAATTTGCAACGTCCTCCTCAGACTCTAGAAGCACTTCGAGAGGAGTTGGTGGTTGCCTGGAATGAGATACCATAGGAGGACATTGACCACTTGTTCAGAAGCATGCCTAGGCGCGTTGGAGAATGCGTAGCACATCAGGGTGCATCCACACATTATTAAAGGTCAAAGGGCTTTAAAGCAGTGCAATCATTTTGAAATTTTTATCATTTACTTATTATGCTTCATTAAGTACTTATACAAAGTTTTATTAAAATAAAACCATTTAAACTGGGTGTTCGGATTTATATGTCACTTAGTATATATTTTTTAAACTTTTTATTCATTTAGTTTCATAGAGAAAGTAACATTTGCGTAAAATTTAATTCATCCTCGGTATCTGCACCTGTGCATGATTGAGTGTCGGTGTCTGTTTGAATTGGAGTAGCTGGGGAAGTTACGGGTGTAGGTGTAGTGGACGGAATGGAGGATGCCTCAGGTATATTGTATGATTTAGTGCCTGTTTGATCTGATGTAGCTGGTGAAGCAGCAGGCGTCGGTGTAGCGAACGGAGTGGTGGATATCCCAGGTTGTATGTCTGAACACTCTGCTCTATAGAGAATATTATTTATTTCAAATTTGGCGTAGATTTGCACCGATTTGCTCTTAAGGTTTCGCAAGGTGGTCGCTACATATTCACCATACACATCAAAGTCATCTCGCTTTTTCACGTTACTTGATAGTTCTTTCATTACCGCGTACGCTTCTTCAGATTTCGTGTCTTTTGCCATTCTCTTGTTGCCTTTAGTTATAGGTATACGTGCAATAGTTTCATTTACTGTTTTTTCTTGACGTTTTTTGCACCTTTTTATGTGGCTGTGATCGCTCTTCTTCCTATAAAATCAGAAAAAACCGAAAATAGTATTTTGATATATAACTTGTATATAACGATTAAAGGCCTGTTCAAGAAGACGCGTCACAAACCAGTCAGAGTCAATGATTTAATCTAAAAATTGTCACATGTCAATTCTCTGACTGTTTCTGAGCTGTCCGATTGGCTCTGACTGGTTTGTGATTCTTCTAGAAACAGAACTTAAAACATGTATTGAAATGAATATAATAATATAGCATAATTCCTCTTTCTTCAGGTACCCAAATATCAAGAGGAATGGCAACAGATTGCAAATGGTTTTGACCAGAAGTGGAATTACCCTCACTGTTGTAGCAGTATCGATGGAAAACACATATGCTTACAAGCTCCAATAAATACTGGAAGCGACTATTTCAATTACAAGGGATTTTTCAGCACAGTGCTTTTAGCTATAGTGGACGATAACTATTGCTTTACGTTTGTAAATATAGGTTGCCAAGGTCGTTTGTCTGATGGCGGAGTATTTGCTAATACAACATTTAAAAAGTTACTTGAAACCTCTTCCTTGAATCTCCCATCAATGAAAGTTTTACCGGGAAGAATATCAACTTTACCTTTTGTGTTTCTTTGTTTTGAGGCATTTGCTTTACAGCCGCATATGATGACACCCTTCCCAGGCACTCAACAGAAAGGGTCACCGGCTCGGATTTACAATTACAGACACAGCAGAGCAAGACGTGTAGTCGAAAATAAATTTGGAATTATGTCTGTTATATTCAGGGTGTTTAGAGAACCAATGCTCATTGAGCCTCAAAAGGCAGAAAGGGTAGTTTTAGCAAGTTGTTATCTCCATAATTTTCTTCGAAAAGGTCAATCAACTTCATCCTACTGTCCACCAGAAACTTTTGATTCAGAGGACGCGCTGACGGGAGAATTAATACCTGGTACATGGAGAGTCGAAGGTCAGCCAAATGGTACTTTGTTAAAACTTAAAAAGATTCCCAGGAAACCTACCCTGCTAGGCAAAGAAATACGAGAGGAGTTTTCTTTGTACTTTACCAGTAAGGAGGGGAAAGTGCCGTGGCAGAATAATTTTTGATTTCAAATTGGTTATTAATTTAAAGTGTGCTTACCTCACCCGCAGTGATATTCCTAGTGTCCCGTGTTTCAGTATCTTGCTTGGGAGATAGACCACCTTCAGTAGAATGACGTGCCTCATTTTTGTCTTTTAAAAATAAAAGCATTTTAAAAAAAGCCATTTTGTTTTAAAAGGGGCATCAGCTCCATGGCCACAGTTTCCTTTTTTCAATTCTCGCTGAAATTGCCCAATCAGCATGCGCATTTTTTTTCAACTTCATTTGTATCTGTTTTCACTTCTGCGGCTATTTCAGTCCATGCGTCGAGTTTTTTATTTCTATTTTGAAAATCCATAAATGTAGGATCCCATAATACTCGTTGCTCACGAAATATACTAAGTGACATATAAATCCGAACACCCAGTTTAAATGGTTTTATTTTAATAAAAGTTGGTGAATGTATTTATCTTACTGTAAATAACAAGTGAAAAAATTTTCAGCCTTATCAGTTGGACATTCCGGTTTTTATACTGCTTTTTTTTAATTCACTAACGCTCTAAAAATGAATATTTCAGCCGCAGTAAAGAATCAACGTTGGCAGATTTTGGTTCTTGACATCCTTTAAGATCGGTTACGATGCCTAGAGTACGGAGACCTGTACGATTTCGTCAACTTAGTGAGTTTGATAGGGGCCGTATAGTGGGACTTCGGGAAGCTGGACTTTCTGTTCGGGCAATTGCAGTTAGAGTGCAAAGAAGTGTAGACACTGTGGTTAGGTGTTGTCAGGTATAGCTTCGAGAAGGCCGTACGCAAAGAGCAAGGGGCACTGGACGCCGCCGTAGAACAACAGACCGTGAAGATCGCCGCCTAAGATTATTGGCCTTAAGGGACCGTTTCTCCACTACCAGGTCCATTGCAAATGAATGGTTTGAAGAACACGGAAGACATATTGGCATGCAAAGTGTTTACCGACGAATGAGAAGTTTTGGCTTGTTTTCATACCGGCCACACTGGGTCCTCCCTTTAACTCGAGAACACCGACGTAATCGCCTTGAGTGGTGCAGACAACGGTCACTCTGGGATCAGGAATGGAACAGTATTGTCTTTAGTGACGAGTCTTGATTTTGTTTAGGCATGCACGATGGTCGTGCCAGGGTTAGAAGGCGACGTGGTGAAATGAGGAATCCACAGTTTTTTGTTGAAAGACTTGTTCATCACACTGTTGGAGTTATGGTTTGGGGTGCTATAGCTTATGGTTCCAGGTCACCTTTAATCTTCATCAGAGGTAACATGAACGCGCAGCGTTGTATCCACGAAGTTCTAGAACCACATCTTATACCCTATCTTGACACCCTGGCAGATCCAACTTTCCAACAAGATAATGCCCGACCACATGTTGCAAGAGTCACAATAGACTTCTTTCAACATAATGATGTCACATTGTTACCATGGCCACCAAGATCTCCCGACTTATCCCCAATTGAGCACGTGTGGGATATGATGGGTAGGAGATTGCTCAATTTGCAACGTCCTCCTCAGACTCTAGAAGCACTTCGAGAGGAGTTGGTGGTTGCCTGGAATGAGATGCCACAGGAGGATTTTGACCACCTGATCAGAAGCATGCTTAGGCGCGTTGGAGAATGCGTAGCACATCAGGGTGCATCCACACATTATTAAAGGTCAAAGGGCTTTAAAGCAGTGCAATCATTTTGATATTTTTATCATTAACTTATTATGCTTCATTAAGTACTTATACAAAATTTTATTAAAATAAAACCATTTAAACTGGGTGTTCGGATTTATATGTCACTTAGTATAGTTCAATTAAATGAGTAGTCAATTCTTTCGACCATTCCATCGTGAACAGATCAAAGAAAAATGTGGCAAAACAAACAAGACGATGTGACACCGACGGTTTCCGTTCTTGTACTACTCCAACCACTATTCACAGTGCCAGGGAATGTTTCAATAACCTGTTTTTAAGTGTAGACCAGTCACACTGCGATTTTACAACAAAGTTTTATAACTGTCTTTGATCTTTACCGACAACTGATGGATAACATAAAACATGCTATATAACCTGCAAAATGTTATACAACACTGTGTTTTATAACTTTTTTATCTAAAATTCTGTAACAAGTTACAAAACTTTGTTATTTAACATGTTTTGTTACATAGTGTGGACCCGTCTTTAGATAAATAAGGTTGACATTACTGTATGTACATACGACCTAAGTGATGCACATGCACGATATTTGTTTTCCTGATGTCTCGGAGACATACATATACGAGGGATGTCTTTTAAGTTTTGCATATGGAAATAAAACAACACGGTAGATAGTTTTAAATGACTTTATTGTTTTTCGAAGTATTCTCCACGAAGACTAATATACATCTGTATGCGCTCGAACCAATTTTCAAAGCACTTATTCCACTCGTTTGCTGGCAGATCCAAACCGGCATTTTTGAATGCGTCAACTGCTTCTTCTGGCGACTGGAACCTTTGACCACGCAGTCTGTTTTTAATTTTCGGGAAAGTAAAGAAATCGTTAGGACTTAGATCGGGACTATATGGAAGATGGTCCAATAATTCTACGTTTTCTTCCGTTAAATACTGCCTTGTTTTTTGGGCCGTGTGCGAGCTTGCATTGTCTTGGTGGAGGATCATTCTTCTTTCGGGCTTGACTGTCGTTTATGTTCTAGTTCATAACAGTAAATAATAATAACTCCTAATTCTTCATGTAATTTTTTTTTTGAGGTCTTTGAGATCTTCAAGGACGCCTCAATCTCGCGATATGTCACATGTCTATCTTCAACGATGCGTTTGTTCACAGCATCGACGTTTTCCTGGGTGACTGCCGTTTTTGGTGCACCCACCCTGGAATCGTCGCTAAGACTCACCTGTCCACGTTTGAATTCTCCATACCAACGGAAAATAGTCGACTGATGTGGCGCTTCGTTGCCGAAAACAGACAGTAACTCAGCAAGGCATTCTTGTTGCGATAATTTTCTCTGAAAGTTGTAATAAATTATGGCGCGAAAATGTTCTCCGTTGAGTTCCATTTTTCTAATGACTTGGTGACATTTAAAAATTCACTGTAGTGAGAACACTGCACGTATTGTTGTGAAACTTTGAATTTAAGTTTACTAACGGGTGAGGTTAAGATTCAGTACTGACGTTCGATCCGCGCGGCCTACTATGTATCTACAGTGAAAGCTCTCCTTGCGGACAGCTCCTATAAGCGGACATCTCTTTTAACCGGACAAAGTTCCTGGAACCGAATTTCAGCCATCAATTTTCAATGTTAAATGCATTCCGATAAACGGACGCTCTTATAAACGGACGCGGACACTAGATTTTCCTGTATGTGATCAAAAAATCTCCCATAAGCGGACGCGAAATTCTAATACCCGGACGATTTTTTAGTTCCGCTTATTGCAATGCACATATCTACATACATAAAATTCGGTAATTCCCCGATTTATATTAGGTGATTCCCCATTTACGCATTTCGTTGGGTAGCCTGTATGTAATCTTGTGGCTTGTCTTCAGTTCAGGCAAATTCGTAGTTGATTGAGTTACGTATTTTATTATTGTAACTGTAAAATGGCACCAAAAATGGATGCTCTCGTTAAAGGAAAAGATGGAAGTTGTTAACGTATTAGACAGAGAAAGTGTTTCAGTTCGTCATTTGGCAAAGAGGTTTAATATTGGGAAAACGCAAGCAGCTTAAATTGCCAAAAATAAGGAAGATATCAGGAGTAAATGGCAATCAGGAACTAATATAAATCAAAAGAAGGATTTTTTAAAAAAGGAAGGTTTTGCTATAGACAAAACATGTTTTGAGTGGTTTGTGAAAGCTAGAAGTCAGAACATTCCAATCTCAGGGCCGTTAGTGAAAATGAAAGCTAAAGAAATCGCCACTACTTTGGGCTATAATAATTTCAGTGCGTCCGACGGGTGGCTGCAAAAGTGGCGCAAGAGGCATAGCGTGAGTTTCAAATGCATAACTGGCGAAGCTGCTGCAGTAGATCAAGTTGATGTGTCACAATTTTTGGAGAAACTTCCGTCCATGTTGCTTGGCTACAAACCAGAAGATGTGTACAACGCAGATGAGAGTGGACATTTTTTTCGCGCATTGCCCGACAAAACTCAGTCCTTTAAAGGAGAAACATGTGTGGGTGAAAAGTTGTCTAAAGATAGACTAACCATTTTATTCTGTGCAAATATGGCCGGTGAAAAATGCGATTTGATTGTGATCGGGAAAGCGGCTCGTCCCCGTGCTTTAAAAAACGTTGCTATTAAGGATCTACCAGCGACTTGGAAATCCAACAAAAAGGCATGGATGACCCGAGAAATCATGTCTGAGTGGTTAGTCGAATTCGACTGGAAAATGAGAATCCAAAAAAGGCAAGTTCTTTTATTTTTAGACAATGCATGCTCTCATCCTCGTGATATGAAAATGAAAAATGTGAAAATTATATTTTTACCGCCAAACACAACTTCTGTTTGTCAGCCCATGGATCAAGGTGTCTTACAGAACTTTAAATTTTATTATCGGCACTTGATTTTAAAACATATTTTAACAAAAATTGACGATGGTCAAAGCTTATCTGAGCTTACAAAGTCTATCAATGTGTTAGAAGCTTTGTATTTTATAAAAACAGCATGGAATAAAGTAAATTCCTCTACAATTAAAAACTGTTTTGGCAAAGCTGGATTCAGAAAAAGTGAATGTAGCTCAGAATTTGCTGAGCAAAATTATTGCGATGCTGAAGACGATCTGCCCTTAGCGACACTTGCTCAGTTACTGCGACATGCCAAACATTTAGGAGTAGCAGATCCCCAGAAAGTAGATGATTTCCTGAAAGAAAGCCCAGGCCAACTTGAATATGGTAGTTCAAACGACTCAGAAGAAGAAGTGGAACTGGTGGACTCACTAAGCGGTTCAAAAACGATAAATTCATATGGGGAAGCTCTAAATCATATTTCTATATTGAAAAAATTTGCTAAAGATGATTTCACTGCATTTCAACATTTGAAAAATTTAGAAAGTTATTACGAAAATTGTCTCCTTCAGCAAAAGATGGTGAAATTTCGTCAGACAAACATTTTAAACTTTTTTCAACAAGCTAAAGAATAATGTTTTTTTTTAAATTCTCGTACCATGTATTGAAGCATTTATGTTTTTGTATGCGTATATGTACATATATTATATAGATATATAGCATAAATACATACTTTAAAGATGTGGCGAGTTTCTGTTTCATTTTTCTCATGATTATAATACCTCATTTCCTCATGATTATATACCCCGCTATTTATACTCTATACTTACATACTCTCTTTTAAACAGACACCTCCCATAAGCGGACAAAAGTTACGGAACCGTGAGTGTCCGCTTATGGGAGCTTTCACTGTATATGCAAAACTTAAAAGACATCCCTCGTACAGTACCGGTATCCTGATTGTAATAATAAGAATAAATAACAACGATGACATGCAGTTAACACATTCCTCACTTTTTTTCGGCACGATCCAAACGCACATTTTCGCTTGGAGACAAGGTATGCATAATGGATACGACTAACTTGACACTATACGTGTACAGCATACCACCTAGTATCTTCATTATCATGTTAAGCCACGTGGTGGCGCAGTTAGATAGAAGCGTCAAGCGGTTTGATTTGGTATCCCTTGCGCGTTACAAATTCGAAAAAAAATCGGTGCTCATTTCAGATGTTTTTATTATCGCATGCAAATCTTAGGAAGCTCTTTGGTGTCATAATGCAGTATTTTTGAAAATTGCTGGATTGGCGACGGGGACGATAGCGAAAAACTAAAAATAACCAAGTATATACAAAACTTTTGTATATTTCTTGACAAGTCATTTTGGGGTGGACTGGACTCAAAACCTTTTAGTTGGCTCAGAACGCTTTTAAGATTTTTTGGAGGGATAAACTATTTGAAGAGAATTCTAAATTTGCTTTCGACCATTACTAAACCTCCTGATAACCTATATGTGACTTCGAAGTTGAGTCATTTATTTTAACAGTGAGTAGATCTGACCAAAAGAAATGTTTTTTTCCTTTACCATTTTTCTGGTAAAATTAAAGTAACAAAGTTATAGCCCTTTGGAAGTTTGAGTCTCAATAATAATATTATGTGCTCGTGTTTGGCGACAACGGATATAATCCGCCTTATCGGTTCATCGCATCGGAAACAAAAAAGCGAAAGAATTTGGAACGATGTTTTTACAATTATTTCATTCAGTTGTATACAGTCAGTGTCAGTCGGTAGTGATTAGTGGTGTCTGTTGCGTGGCTCAAACGAAATAAAAAATGGCACATGTTTATGCGGATCGGTTTCCCAATCGAGTGCAACCAACCCCTCGTGCCTTTGTTAATGTAGTACAACGGGTTCGTGAATCAGGTGACTTAAGACGTCACATATGAACGGCATACCGGTGCTCCAAGACCTCACGATCAAATACAGGTCCGCACTGAAATACTTGTCGGGAGGATACTTTATAAAACAAGGTTAAATTTTTTTTTTAATTTTTTTTTTATTTTTACACGCATATTTTGGTTTATCTTCCTTCTACAATCATTATCTGAAAATTAATGACTCAACTTCAAAGTCACCCTGTATAATGTATTAGAATTAATAATCGATCTATTAGACACACTTTCCCAATATCCCAGTAGCTGTGAAACTAATCATAAAAAAATCCTTACTTGGCTGCAGCCAACGAATTCGGATTAAATAGAAGGAGCAAGTATAAGATTAAAATTTTTCGTCACTACAATAACGTAGTTCATATTCGTACTACAAGCCGATCAGGCTTGAGCCGCCAATTTGTCAGTGGTTCACAATTCACATTAAGTTCGTACTTTTCTGCGAAAATACGTAAAGGTGCATAGGTTCTATACAATCAGTAGCGTTAGGACTTGAGTTGGAGGCCAGCTCAGTATTAGATCAGTTTCAATCCTGGATAAATAGTAATAAGCTAATAGTTAATGAAAGTAAGACCAAATATATGTGCTATTATAAATATTTACCAACTACTATCACGTTGAAGTTAAATAATTCAGTTCTTGACAGGGTTCAACGAACAAAGTCTTTAGGGGTAATAGTTGATGAAAGATAGCAGATTTGTTCAGATGCTGTTCCGTTAATATACGAGCCCCTTCCCACTTCAGTTGGCCCAACTATTGAAATCTTAGTTTTTTTCTTATCAAACACAAATAATAAAAATGTAGGAGGGTGTTATATGTTTAAAATATTAACAATTAATATTTTGATAATATATAGTAGAAAACACCAACTGTATCACTCACTAATCAAATTTGCAGCATAAAAATAACACATGTTGCAATTACTGCATATCAACCTATTTTCATTTCAATGCAAAATAAGTCTATAACGCATAGGTGGCTGTAAAAAATAAAAGCCATGACAATTGTTTTTATTAATCACAGCTGTCAGAATACGTTTAAAATTGTTTTGGGTAGTTAAGGTTTCCAAAATGGGTAGAGGAAAGAAAGGTTATTAGTGAGAAAATTCGGTTACTGATAATTAAATTTTTTAATTCTGGGAAATCAAACTCAGAAATTGCAACTTTGTTAGACTTATCGAGGTACAGTGTGAGAAATACTGTTAGAAGACATAACGCAACTGGTTCAGTTAATATTAAGCCACGATATGTGAAAAAAAGTAATATCACAAATGCCGACCGAAGAGCTTTAAGAAGAATAATCGTGAAAAACAGGCGTGCCAATTATTTACAATTAAGTACTCTGTGGAGTGACGCTGGTGGAAGGAGAATTTCGAGGTCCACAACTCACAGAGAGGCCCACAAACTGGGATTTAGTACTTGCAAGGTAAGTTTTCTTATAAAAAAAAGTGAAGTAAAAACCACAAAGTTGCACAACTTGTTTATAGGCCAAAGAAAAGCCACTATTAACTCCACTGCAAAAGAAAAATCGGCTTAGATGGGTTAAAGAACATAGACAATGGACATCTCAACAATGGTGTGCAATACAATGGAGTGATGAGGCCC